ATTTCAGTCAGTGTATGCTTAATTTCTAGTTGGTTCTTTATCACAACATCGAGGGTCTCATTAGATTTCTTGTACATCTCATTAAGTTTATCGGCAGTCTCTAGAAGACTCTTGAAAGACCTCAAAAGTGTGGTTTTGAATTCTATATCCAGCAGCCTGCTTTCCTCCATTTCTGTCATTTGTGTCCTGTTTCTTTGTCTCGGCATTTTTTATGCTTCGCTGTGTCGATAGAGTGGCTTTCTGTGCTAAGTGTCCCAATTACCTGAGGTAGACACTCTTGGTGCACCCCCTTGTGGTCTTTGTGCACAGTCTCGTTGTAGCTAAGCCTTGATTGTTGTAGGTAACACTGGGAGGGATTTGACCTCCAGGCCAATTGGCTGTGAGAATCAGCTGTGTCTGCATTGGGAGAACTTCTGTCCTGGATCTCTAGGGCAGCGCTAATCTAGCCTCTGCCTGAGGCTAACCAGCAAATGCCTCTGTGCAGGGCTTGGGCAGGGCAGGTCCCAGGGGATCAACAGGGCGGGCCGAGCGAGCAGTTATGGCTGCTCTCAGTCTCGTCCCCAGAGGCTCTGCCTCTCAGAGTCCCAGCAACCGCTGCAAACCTCAGAGAGAAAGCTGCCCTCGAGTTCCGACCTATGCCAGACAGTCCCGCTTCTCCCGTTTGAGTCTGGGTCCCCAGAGACTGGCCCAGAACTGGAGTTCAGAGCCTGAGACTCCCTCCTGATTGAAACAGACAACCGCACCCTCAGCCACCAGCCCGCTCCACACGCACCTCCGCACCTTTGTATTTTACTTCCGCACCGCACCTCCTCCGAGTCTCGGTATGCTTTTCTCTTTCCTTCTAGTTGTAGAATTTCCCCTCAGCCAGCCTTCCTGTGGTACTGGGTGATGTCCGTTCCGTCTTTTAGTTGTCTTTTTGAAGTGGTTGTGCGAGGCAGCAATCTCCGGTGTTTACCTATGCCGCCATCTTGGTTTCTTCTTGGGAATCTTTTTAAAATCCTGATTTCTGGGCCTCATCCTCCAGAAATTCTGTTTCTTTGTTATGGGGTGGGGCCAAAACATTAGTAACAAAGAAACAGAATTTCTGGAAGATGAGGCCCAGAAATCAGGATTTTAAAAAGATTCCCAGGTGATTCAAATGTGCAGCCAAGATTGAGAACCACTGCCTTACTCAATAAGCCAAATTTATTTGGAGTCTTTTTCATTTCGCTAACACTAGCAGGCCCACAGGAAATATTGCTTCTCAAATTCTGGGGCCCAATATGGTGGAGTCCTTTCTATTTATATGTTTTTCAGCTTTTGTCTTCCGAATTTGGAACAAGACTTCCGGACCTTCTGAGAAAAAGTCCTGTGTGCTGGGCCAGGGCCGTGAGACCAGACCTCAAGGCCTGGCCTGGCGCCAGCACTGACAACTCTGTCTGGGGCATAGCTTATGGCCTCTCTGGAATGGGAGTAGTCTTATTTTTCCCTGTTATTTAAGCACGCAAACGTTTACAGAAGCCAGAATAGCAGGGTTAAAATTTTAAAGGGCAGTTTTTACCCAAGAGGGAGGTTACTATGCTTCCTAACAAGGTAAGTCCATGCCTTTGTCTCCCACACACCCCTGCTCCCTGCTCCCTGCTCTGTCTGGGGAACATGAAGTCAGGGATTCTGTAGTCTTTCGTGAATGCGGGTGAGTTCTTCCAACCTCCACTCCAGCTCCTGGGCCTGCTGCCTCAACTCTTCAGCTGAGTGACCCTTTGCGCCCTTATGTAAGTGCACTGACTCTCGCACTATGTTCACTACATCCATGAGAAGGAAAAAACCTGCAGCGGCAAAACCAAAGACCCTGGCTCCTTTGCTCATGGCCAGAACAGTGCCCTCAAAAGCTTTCTGCAGCTGATTGCCACCTTGGGCTGACATTGCCCCCGTGCTCATGAAGCTCCTGGCCTCAGCTGCTAAGAGAGGATTGGATTTGGCCAGATTGAAGGCACGGGCATTCTTCACAATATTTTTCACGGATTGGTAGCAATTCACTGCAAAGGAAGCAATTTTGGGTGTGCTGCGACTTACAACCTTCTCGACCACCTTCTCTGTGTCACTGCCAGTTGGCACTAGGCGCCTGGCTTCGGCTTTTGCTGACTTGTTCTTTGAATACTCCACGATGCCAGTGGTCACACCGGTCACAGCAGCTGCTGTCCCCAGTCCCGCCCCAGTTGCCGCAAGCACCAGACTAGCCCCTGCTGTCACAGGTGCCAGAGACAGGCCAACGATGGTCAGGATGCCAGACACAACACCGGTGGAAGAGGCCGCCACTTTGGAGATGGTGCAGTCCCTGTGCACCTTGTCCACCTCATCCGCAAGTGCGTAGAGCTTTCGTATGCGTTCCTCAAGGTCCTGTTTCACCTGAGGAAACTCCTTCATAAAGCTCTCCCGATGCAGCTGGTCTGCTGAGGGCATGTCTTTGTCCTCCTCGGCCATGAGTGCTTCCAGCTGGCGCAAGTCTGCATAGAGTGCATCTGCCTCACCCCTGCAATCATGAAGGACAGGCGATTAACGAAGGCAGGTGTATGAATCGCTAGAGCTGAGACCACTAATTGGATGAGCTCATGCAGGAAGCCCTGTCCTCTATGGTGGGAACGTGTGGGTCTACCCAGAATCCCTCAGATGACACCACATTGGCAGCCCCCGTTCTGACTGGAAGCGGTCACTAAGCCTCACTGCCTTCCCTCTGGTCTGGGTTACCCCATGGAAAAGAGAAGAGGATCCCACAGGGAGGTCAGGAGCCCTCCAGCTCACAGACAGGGTTAGAGGACATAATTACCTAGAGCCCTCTACCCCCAGCAGAGAGGGGATCAAATCAGGGAAGGAAGAAATGTGCCCCCTGACCCCCTGCACAGCCCTTCACTAGGCCCCTGGCCTCCTCAGTCCTGTGCCAGGTGCCTCAGCTGCCTCACTGTAGTCCCAGCCCCACTGCCAAGCCTTCCTACCATCCTCCCACCTGGACCACCCTTGCTCCATCCAGATGCCGGGCTCTGCCCCTGCTCCAGGCCTCTCTGGGCCTCCAGACAGGATGACTGCACTTACTTCCTCGCCCTGGACCCTGCAGTTCACCCCAAGGCCTTCACCATAGGCCTATCAGATGGACTTGCTATTCCATTGAAGAGGGAGATGACATAAGCCCAGAGCTGGGCAGAGATACGGTCAGGAGTCAACCCAACACGGTGCAGCTTCACTCCAGCTCTCCGCCTTCCAGGCCAGCAGGACCCTGCAGAGTCTGTACAATCCCTTTCTTAGGGAGAGCAGGCTCTCTAGCCACAATCCCCAGGGACACACACTGTGCCAGGATTTTCCTGGCTTGTCCCAAAGGACGTCCTGTGTGGCTCGCACATCCAACAGGAAGACCCTTGGGCCCTGTCTATTCCCAGCATCTTTTTAAAAGTTCATGTCAAGTGTCCACCTACTATGTGTCAGTCATTAGGCTAAACAGTTTACACGCATTATCTTATTTTCCTCACTATGAAATAGAACAGATAAGTAAGACAGAGAGTGGTTAAGTAACAGGCCCAAGGTCATGTAACCCTCCCCCTGCAGGCCTCATCTCTTCTCATCCTAAGGCCCTTCTCTGCCAATGAATGATATGAAGGAAATGTTCCTCATGGACTGTTGAAAAGACACTTCTTCAACCCCAAACTCAGGACCCTGCTGGAGGAGTGTGCCTGCCAGAGGAATCTAGATGCAGGGGAGATGGCGTGACAACACAGGCATCCCCTGGAGGTTACCAGGACAGCTCGGCTGAAGCCACAAATCTCTTCCAGGATTCATCACTCAGCAGGCGCTGCAGTTTCTCTTTGTCCCTTGGGTCCATTAAATACTCAACCGCATCAACAAAGTCTTCGTCCTCTAGATGGAAAGAAAAAAGAATAAGGTTAGAAGAAATCATGGTAGAACGGAAATTGAATTGAGTATAAACAAAGTGGTTAAATGTTCATCTTCCTGAGCAGCTGTCACCTGGGGGACTTATTTTTTTTTAATATATTTTATTGATTTTTTACAGAGAGGAAGGGAGAGGGAAAGAGAGTTAGAAACATCGATGAGAGAGAAGCATCAATCAGCTGCCTCCTGCACACTCCCTACTGGGGATGTGCCTGCAACCAAGGTACATGCCCTTGACTGGAATCGAACCCGGGACCCTTCAGTCCGCAGGCTGATGCTCTATCCACTGAGTCAAACCAGTCAGGGCATGGGGGACTTATTTTTTATCTCTGGGGAACTTTTGGTGAGTCACCTGGTGTTATGGACAGAACTGTGCCCCCAAATTTATATACTGCAGGCCTGACACCTATGTGACTGTACTTATTCATTTATTTTTTAATATGTTTCTATTGCTTTTTAGAGAGAGAAGAAGGGAGAAGTATAGAGATGGAACATCGATATGAAAGAAGCATCAATCAGTTGCCTCCTGCATGCCCACTACTGGAGGTCGAGCTAGCAACCCAGGCATGTGCCCTGCCTGGGAATCGAACCAGTGACCTCTTGGTTCATGGGTCAACACTCAACCACTGAGCCACAATGGCCAGGCCCCATGTGACTGTATTTTATAATTAGGGTTGAATAAGATCATAAGTGTGGGACTAATCCAACATGAATGGTGTCCTTATGAAAAGGGGGAGAGGCACCAATACTTTCCCTCCCCCACTTGTTTCTCTCTCTCTCTCTCTCTCTCTCTCTCTCTCTCTCTCTCTCTCTCAATAACTTTTATAAATCTTTTAAAAAATGTGTGACTTTCAGGGATTTGGAGACTCTGGAAATGCAGATAAGGAACTGGGGACTGGTGTATATTTTGTGTGTACAGAGACATGCTCTAAATGTGTTTCCTGCCATATACACACAAGGGACATTATTCTTATTTCACAAACAAAGAAAGTGAAACTCAGACAGGAAAAGAAGGCCCAAGCCAAGAAGCAGAAAGCTCAAAGGTGCAATCAAAGGTCACTGGTCATATATTTCCTTACATTAGGTCGAAGCATCCTTATGTTTCAAAAATTCATGTGATTGCTGCGTTCTACCCTAGAGTTCATCTATAGGATTTTTTATAAATTTGAAAATAATGTTTCAGACCACACACCACTGATGGAGTAAAACTACCAGGCAAATAGGATTCCTCCTGCTTCTCACAGGTGCTCCAAGGTGGGCAGTGGAGGGGTGTCTTCAGGTGGGTGGGGGTTGGAACCTCAGCTCTAACCCTGTGATCAATCAGTATCAGCTCTCCCTCCTCCAGGCTGGTCTCAGGGGCCACAGCTCCCCTGGGCACCTCTGACCCCACCCTTGCCCACTCCTTAAACAAGAGGTCATCTTGTTTGTCCTTAGGAATGAATGGATCTGAGAGTCTGCTCAGGAGCTGCAGGCTTCTGATCTGTCCTCTCCTCCCTTATGCTGCAACAGGAACAAGTTTTATCCTCTCCTGGGGGGGGGGGGGTTGATTTGGTTGCCTAGGCAATGCAGTGTTGATGTGGGTGGGTGGAGGGGTGTTTTTTCCTTTTCTTGCTTCACCCACTGAGGGAGAAAGTAAACCTGGGTTGAGATGGAGGGAACCCAGAGCACTGCATCTGTGTATTTGTGGGCCAGGCTGTGGGTGGGAGTGGGCAATAACAAAGCGGGCCTCTGCAGGGGTATCTGAGATCAACAGAAGAAGTTCCTGCCTGACAGTCACACCTGGTACGCAGGTGTTTATAATTGGGAGCACAGGTCAGGGACCCCGCACAGCTGTGGGAGGTGGCAGTTCTTTGGAGGGGAAGGTTTCCACCAGGAACTAGCAGGTTCCAGTTACAGTGAACAAGAAATTCCCACCACCCATGGGCTGTCCTGGCCTCACTGGAGACATTGCATGAGTTGCTGAAGATGGGAGGCAGTGAGCAGCCTGAGGAGAGAGCCAGGAAGGAGGTCCCCACATAGACTTCTGGTTGAGGGGACTTCCCTTGACCCTCTTGGGGGCTCAGAGACACTCATCAATGCCCTTGGAGGTTCTTGATTCTTGTGGAGCTTAACCCAGTTTGGAGGTACCTCCCTCAATTCTAGATCATGAGCAGGAACCAGCTAGGGAGGAGGAAGCTGACTACCTGGGCAGATCCCGTCAGCTTCTGAGGTCATGGTGTCAGCAGTGGGATCTCAGAGTTTCCCCTTCAGCTCACCAGTCTGTGTCCAGCTGGAAGGAGGTGTTGCTTCACCCTTGGGGAAGAGAAAACAAATAGTGGGGTCGAAGGTGAGCCAGCTGAGCAACAGGGAGCAGCGAGGGGCTCTGTCTCTGGTGTTTCTTTCAGGGAAGAAAGGCCACAAGTGCCAAATGGACTCAATGCACTGTGTTTCCCTGTCTGCTGGGCTCTGCCAGCTGCCAGTGAAGAGAAGGTACTCACCTCACTCCAGCCCACTCCAAGCCAAGTGACAGTCCCCTTGTCCTGTGGGGGCAGAAGGAGAAGATCCTCAGACAAGGAAACACACAGCTGAGGAGTCATAAAACCAAAGAAGCAGCAACACCAGACACAGAAGAAAAGATGGAAGGAATGTTTTGGAAATGACTTGAGGTTGGGGACATTTGTGTTGACTAATCACTCAGCTAATATTGATGGTGTGTCTACCACAGGCTCCTTACGAGTTCCCTCATCAAATACTCTCACACATTCCACATGGTGGGCGCCATGGTGGCTCCCATTGGAACGTGGGGGAAACCATCACAAAGTCTAGGTTTTCACCTGAACTCGGGTTATCCCAAGTCTCACAGTAGTGCTAGAGCTAGGACTCCAGCCCAAGTCTTTCTGATCCCAATCCCGTGTTTGTGAGGACTACGCTTGACTCTCTTTTATACACAAAAACATTTATTAATGCGTCTGTGTTACTTGCAAATGACTCTTCTCATTCTCAAACGATGTCTTGCAAAATATGCCAAGTCTCTGTGTTGATCAATTTCTGGGGCTGTAGCTTCCCAAGCCTGCACCTCTCTTGCTCCTGCAAGACCCTCATGCCCTAAGGCCCTGGGGTCCTGCGGCCCTGGCCCCAGCCCTGCAGCCCTGCTGTGGGCTGCCCAGCCCTCCTGACACTTCCTGGTCCTCTCTGCTTCCCATGCCCACTGGTAGATGTTAGCTTGTTTTCAGTTCTTTGTGAAAATAGTGCAGAAACATCCTTTAGGCATAAAAGTTGGTCTGCATTTGAGATTGCTTCCCTTAAGATATTTAATAAATAGAACGACTGGGACAGAGGGTATCGCCATATAAAAATTCCTTTATGCCTAGAGCCACACTCTAATGCAAACAAATTGCACCAATTTACATTCATGCTCACAGGATATGAGGTGTCCATCTTTTCCATCTCCCAGTTCATAGTACTTTTCAAACACACACATACACACATCTTAAAAATCATAACATTTACCACCTTAACCATTATTTTTTAACATTTTTTATTTCTTGTCTTTTTAAAAAATATATATTTTATTCATTTTCTACAGAGAGGAAGGGAGAGGGATAGAGAATTAGAAACATCGATGAGAGAGAAACATTGATCAGCTGCCTCCTACACACCTCCTACTGGGGATGTGCCTGCAACCAAGGTACATGCCCTTGACCGGAATCGAACCTGGGACCTTTCAGTCTGCAGGCTGACATTCTATCCACTGAGCCAAACCAGTTAGGGTTACCTTAACCATATTAAAGGGTACAGTTCAATAGTGTTAAATTATATTTACCCTGTTGTGCAACCAGTCTCCAGAACTCTCTTCATCTTATAAAACAGAAACTCAATACCCACTAAACAATAACTCCCCATTCCCGCACCTCCCAGCCCCTGCAAACTGCCATTCTACTTCCCATCTCCACGGATTTGAGTGCTTCATATACGTGGAATCACACAATGTTTATCGTCCTGAGACGGCTTTATTTCACTTAGCATAGTATCCTCAAGGGTCATGCCTGTTGGAACATGGGCCAGAATGCCCTTCCTTTTTAAGGCTGTAATTTTTCTTAAAGGGTTTTTGGGAAAGTTTATTTGAGCCAAACTGCACAAGATCTAAAATGCTCTGGAGAATAACAGTCACTCAGCTTCTTCTCTGCATCTGAAATGAAGGAGGGGATGTAAGGAAGGTTACATGAAGTTGGGAGAAAGCAGCTGGGGATTGGATTAAAGGACAGTCAACAAGAGTGTGGTCTCTTTTTTAAAAAACAACAACCAGAAATGTTTTTATTGACTTTACAGAGAGGAAGGGAATGGAAGAGAGATAGAAACATTGATGAGAAAGAAGCATCCAGTGGCTGCCCCCTACATGCCCTCTGCTGGGTTTCAAGCCCACAGCCCGAGCATGTGCCCTGCCTAGGAATCAAACTGGTGACCTTTTCATTCATGGGCCAACACTCAACCACTGAGCCACACCGGCCAGGCCAGATTGTGCTCTTGAGAGTGGTTATTTCAAAGGTGTGTTCACCTAGATGCACAGAAACAATGGACAGGGCTTGCTTAAGGAAAACAAACCTTTTACTAAAAAGTATATGCCTGGGATGTGACCCCCGCCATGACCTGCCCAGCTAGAAATTTATGATCACATCACCCTGTGAGGTTAGTTGGCATAGAACCCATTTTTCATCCACGGTCCCCCTTTTGATGCCAACTCAAGTTGAAGGATGCACGGATGATCAACCTTTTGTTTGGGTAGTGTGGTCTCACAGCGCTAGGAGGGCTCTTTCTTAGGAAGTGTCAGTGTCCACCTTGTCTTGGTGACCATTGGGATGGGGCAATACTGTAATCCTGAGCTCTGGCCGTGGCTGGGTAGCTCAGTTGGTTAAAGCATTGATC